GAACCGGACACCGCTGAATTACAAACTTCCCTCGGTAGTCTTGAAACTAACCACTTGGCCCGCGATGAAGACAGAGATCAGAAAAGAGAGGAGGTTGGAGGAAGCGTCGAATTGAGTTCATTGCGCACCATCGCGATAAAAACAAGTCAAATGAAGGATTAGAACTTAGAAACAGTTCGAAGCCACATAAATCAAAAATATTTTGAACGGCAAATGTCATGCTAATGCTTAGCATGAATAAGTTTATTAAAAATATAACCAATGTCTGGTAACGTGACAATCAAGAGAAGTTGGACAGGAATACAGGAATATAGATTGAAGAGGTTTGTTAGAGATATTTATATTCAATAAATCCAGTTCCCGTACCACCTGTACAAATGCTACCTTTACCGGATTGTGTCATGCGTAAATATCTGAAGTAAACTTTCACTCTCGTTGAATTGTCGCGATCAGCGACAAAGAAAAAGATTATTGCATAATGCATACGCCGTTACCAGTTAATATAATGGTTTAATGAAAAATGGCTGGAAGGGAACACCAGCCACCTTAATGGAACGTAAAATGTTACGCTTACTTATCAGTACTTGGCTTTCAACACCAAAGCTCTCGAAACTTTACATGAAATACAGTTGGCATTAGTGGCAGCCTCTTGCCGAACCGCTTGGTACGAACGACAGGGATCGGCAAATATGTTTATTATCAATGGATAGCCAGCTATCATGTGGATCAAGGCGAAGAGTGATCGCATCAGATAACATCGCCGTTCTTCTCTCCCACTCTGGTACGACCATATTGGAACACCGTGCCAACAGTGTTGTTCGCTAGTCAATTAATTGCTACCTTTTTCTTGTCTGGTGGCTTCTAGCAACGTGGTATGAAATCTTTCTCAGGAAATTTGTGATTAAGAGAAATTTTTACTCCTTCGGCATTGAATCTTATACCTTTGAGGTTAGAGGCTGGGTTACTATCACCGTGTCATTGCGCGTTTAATTAATTGACATACATTTATACTTGAGACATATGATCCAGAATCGGTAACTCTTTGTAATTCCATTAAAGACCGTTAAATATCGTTAATAATTAATAAACCGGCATTTCAACGGTTTTAAGCACAAAAACAGACAAGTGGTAATCGTTGCTAGAACCGTCAACGCTTCAGACAAGCTGCAAGGAAACAATCGACGTGTTGTGTTTAGAACCACTGAAACGCCTGTTTATTGAAGAAGAAGAAAAAGACACAGAAGTGAAATGAGTTAAAGAAATCATTCATAATTATTCGACTATTTATTTCAAACATCTATGTCGTTTGAGCAACATTTAAAAATTGCTTCATTGCAGCAGAACATAAAGACAAATAGCTGCTATTCAGATCCATGAGACAACGGCAGTTTCATGGCTTATCCTCGATCTTATGTAGCAACCTCATCAACCTCATCAACCGCTTTCTTGGCCGATCGCGTAGTGAGGGTTTCTGATCGTCAACTTCGTTGTCTGAGCCATAATCGATTGAAATAACGACGAAAACTTTTTTTTAGAACATCGTCTAATTTTTGAAGCGGCCCAAGTGGCGTTACCGGGCGGAAACACGCTTTCAATACCATTGTCAAGGTAAGGCTTCTAAGGGAACGTATAAGAGAAGTTGAAGCTCCCAGTGAAGAAAAAAACTCGTTACTTCTGGGGAGATGAGGGAGTAGATCGAATTCGTTTTGTCCAGCAGTGGCAGATCGGCAATCCCGAGATTCGCAGTGGATATCGGCGGAGTGATCGTCAGCCGATCGATCAAACGATCGAATTGCGTGCAGCACCAGCCTCGTTCTAAACGGATGGACAGCACACGACAGCTCAACGAGCGG